GAGCCTCAACTCTCGCGGCCCGGTACCGGTCCGAGGCCCGGGGGTTGGGGACCGCTGTCTTACAGGATATATCACTGTTCTGAGTTGTAGGGAGAGAGATCGCTTTCTCTTTGGTGTTGTTAAAACGATACCTGTTTTTAGATTTGAGCTTGTTACTGCTCGCGCTGCTCGTCATGACCATGAAGCTGATGCAGCGTCCGTCACGTTATCCATTTTCCTTTTATATCAGCCGATCGTCTGCAGGACGCCGTTTTCAGGTTGTTATCCAGAGTGAAAATCTAAAACGCGTCAAAATGCTGAAAGTCATTTGGTAAGCAAAGCTGCCAAGTAAACAGACACGTTTGACTCTACTCAGGCTGGAGTTGCTCCCCCGGACCTGACTGCCCTGCGGAGTCGCATCACTGCACTCGAGGAGGAAAGAGAAGAAAACCTCTGGAAGGTGGAGCAATACGAGGAGGTTAAAGCAAAAAACGGTAATAAAATTAAACTTTCCGGAAAACGCTTTAGGGAAATCCTCAGTTCAGAAATGAACATTGTTTTTGTTCGATGTTATCGTTAGAAATGCTAGAGGCAAAGTTGGTGGTGTATGAGGAGCAACAGAGGACACTACAGGCAGACTTGGAGCAGTTCACCAAGAGGGCTGCCTCTCAGGTCTAACACCCCAACGCTTTCTTAAACCTGCTGCTTTTGTTTTACATTTAATACTCACGGATGGTCTCTTATCCCTTTTTGCACCTGCTGAACATAGGCAAGTGAATCAGGCAGCGCTGACGACACTCAGAGCCAGGTGCTGGAGTGGCAGGAGATGGTAGCTGAGGTGGTCAGTGCCAGAGACCGGGCCAGGGAGGAGAAGGCTGCCTTGTCCCTCCGTATCAGCCACATGGAGGAGGAAAGAGAGGGTAAGACTTTTGCTGGAGGATGAGTCAAACTCATTTAGATCAAATTAGCTAATGATGGTGGGATCAGTTATAGCTAGGAGGCTAGGCTAAGCAGGGTTAACATCAGAGTCACAGTTAATCTGCTCAGCCAGTGTGAAATAACGACACGTCTGCTGACATTCATATATGTGAAGAACCTAAAAACAAAACTTTTTCATAAATGCAAGAAAAGACTCGCAGTACTTCATACGACAGTAAAACCTGTTCTTTAATACTTTAAAGCTGTGCTGTATTTCTGTTCCTCAAAATT